TGACGATTTACCCACGCGCGTGTTAGTTGCCATGTTAGTCGCGCGTCGTGCGGTGATTACAAAGGCCTAATGATATTTTGCACTAACATTAGACTGAAATATATTCTTCATTTCAACATTAATTTTAGCAAAATTGTGCTGAATTGTCGTTCATGAGACTCACTTCGCAGAAAAAATTAATAAATGTTCCGTATATACTCAAATGTTCGTCCTCGGCACCTTATGCCAACATTGTCAAAATTAATGTTACATAAGAACATGAAATTTTATAAAATTCGTAAATTTTGAATTGCTATAACTTTCTCATTTTCTTGGTCAATTTTCACAAATCAAATTGCAGTTTATAGAAGCATTTAACAAGCTCGCGGTAAAAAAAAAAATCAAATGTAACAGACATTGCGAAGTACCCAAAATTAATAAAATAAAAACTAACACCATAAAACGAATGGCACGCATAGACTAATAATTGACGGCTGTACTCGCAACTAGTATCAGATTGTCGATGCCACAGTAAAGATCAAAGGACTGTACGCACGCGCTATGTTCGAGAGCGGAGATGTGCGTCCTTTTGTTGAATTACCTTGGCCAAAGTAAACCAAGAATTTCCTTAATTGTTTAGAAGTGGAGGGAACTTTGGATATTAACAACATATATTTGAGCCCTCTGGTTGCAACACAAGAAAAGATGACAAAAGAAAAAAAAATGTCGAGTGAACACACAAGGTTGAAGGTTCAAGATTCAAGATTTCTTTATTTTCAATAACACGATGTATTGAGACTCTTTGTACTTGGATTAAACTATACATTTTTATAAAAGATATTAAAACTAAAAAGATAAAAATTTGAACAACAAATAACACTACTGTACAGGTATATTCTTTTTAGAACAAATAAAGGAAACAATTGTTGAACATGTAACAATCTTATTAATAATACAGAAACCTGATCAAGAAATATTGTTTCTATGAGGTAATTTTCTTTTTTTGACACATGATATGGTTTTAGAAAGAGCAATGGCCTACAGGAATCAATAAGACTATTTATGGTTGCTGATTAGCAACTCGTACTTGGTCTCTTTACTGTTCCTTAAACTAATTTCCTGGTTAAACATTTGAGTTGTTGCCTTGAAGTATCGTTCATATTTGTTGAAGAGTTGTCTTGATATTTTAATAGAGTCTCCTAAAAGACAAAATAAAGAAATGCTGTTACATTAAAAAACAAAAACTTATTATCCAATTGAATTCTACAAACACCAGGTACCAGTGTAGGGGGAGGGGGAATTTTTTCGTCCACAAAACGGTCAACACTACAGTCAAACCCTCATTCAGAGGGCACCTAGATTAAGGGGAAACTTTTTTTGGTCCCAAAGGTGTCCTATTAGCAGGGACCTACTGTTTTTTTTAATTTTTCATATTATCTCACTGACTATTCTGCAAAATTATTTGGGCAGCTTCCACCATCCCCCCCCCCCAACCAACCAAATTAAAAAAAATAATAATAAAATACACTGGGCAGTTATAAATGAAAGAACACATATTTACAAACATAATAAAATATTATAATATAAAAGTTCAAGCTCATGAACAAATAAATAAATAAATCATAAATAAATAAATCAATTATATAAAAGTTAATGTTCTATAATTCTGCTAAAAATATCTGCAAAAATCATTTAAAGAATGGTGAAAGTTGACCTAAATAAGTATAAAAAGTGAAGTTGCATTTATATGATGCTTCCTAGTACTGGAATAGGTATTTATAATGCGCCTATTTCTTGAGGTTATAAAACGCAGTTCTTTTTCATGGACATTGGGCCCACATGCTAAGTGTTGTTGCTGGTAATCAGCGCAGGAGCAGGCAACCCCAACAAGTACCCATTTATACTCCTGGGTAGAGAGGAGCAATGCAAATAAAGTGCCCTGCTCAAGGACACACGCGAAATGCACAGCTAGGGATTGAAACCCTGACCTTGTGGTTGGGAAACGAAAGTGGTCCCGCTGCTTCAAACTCTTCCCCAAGATTCCATGACTTACCTGTAGGTAGTGTTGGGTAGATAGTAGTATCTTTGGTCCATGCTCTACCCTGCTCAAGGCTCTCCTCATTGAAGGCTGTTTGGTTTAATTTCTGTTGAGTCTCGATGCAAATTAGCAACGTATCTATATACAGCTTCCATCGGTCATAATAATATCTTGAAATGAGCAAGCAAATGTGAAATCGGTGAATTTTGAGTGATTTTATTATTTAAACTAATAATAAAGGTAAAGGTACAGGGATGGCATCATTTGAGGGGGGATCGGCAGGCCTCCAGCCGTCAACCCCCAACCCCCGTCGGGGAGAAAAACCACAATTCGTTGGGTAGAAAAAAATATGTATGTACTTTCTGTATTAATAGTAGACTATAAAGGCAACCAAATAAGCCTTTGAAAATCCTAAATTGTGAATTTTTGAATTTTTTTCAATGCCTCAAACAATTTAGAGAAATTCAGAGCGACGCACGACCATGCCTACTTTTATTTCATCAGGGACATCGGCCCCATCGGGGAAACCTGTAAAGGTAGGAGAATAACCCATACTATATTTGCAGTGTCATTGTGCTGCACTGCATATGGGCGTGGTCCGTGACAACCTAGCAGCCGTAAAGAGCCGCTTATAGTAGAGCACGTTCACATCATTTCACGACATTGCCTGAAATTAAGGAAGTCAAGGATGGGATACTGTGTTTAAGAAGACGTACTGTCTGTCTTTATATTGATATCCTTTTGATTTTCTTGATTAAAAAATAAAATAAATGTCAAGAATATTTTATTTTAAATGCCATAAATATTTGCTGATATGGGTCTTACTGTTTACAAATACTTACGATTTAAGTAAACCTCCCCATTGCTTGTTTCCATAATCAAGAATCTAAGTATAAAACATGTATACACATAACAATGTTACTTTAGTTGTTGTTAGGTGTCAATTTTCCTTATATTTGTCACTGTCATTATTTTATTAATATTTAACAGTGTGAGATTTGCAACATGCAGCAGCACTCTTCGATAGTGTATCACCAGACATGCCAACCCTACAAGGCCAATAAGAGGAGTCTGAAAAAATTCTGAGCGGAGTTTTGGCAATGTGAGAGGAGTATTCCTAAGACATGGTACCAATGTCATCAGATTGTAAAATGTAACCGTTTTGACTCACTACAGCATTATCGTCGTGCAAGACTAGGCCCTTGATGGCCTAGGCAGAAAATCAATTTTGATTTAAAACTGACAGGATACTTTCTGTTATTCTCGTATATTCCGGTGTATAAGCCGCAAATTTCATACGCGATTCCCCCTCCCCTCCCCCCAAGTTTGGGGTGCGGCCTATACACCGGTCATACCGCAAATTTCATATGCGATTCCCCCTCCCCTCCCCCCAAGTTTGGGGTGCGGCCTATACACCGGTCATAACTCCCAAAAAGTTCAGATCGCGAGCTGCGGTGAAAATCAGGTGCCCTTTGTCTAGGTTAGGCCCATGCTAGCCCAATTAATTAGCCTAGGGTGTAGGACCGGTTTGTAGGCCTAGTATTTGTAATTATACTCACTACAGCGCTGTACTAGGATTCCTACTACGATTTCTACAAAATTCAAGCAATGGTTTGTGTTGTCTAATTAATTCATTCATAATACGTTCATTCCTAACTACCGAACTACTTTTCGCGAGTTTGGTCCTCGAGGTCATGTGAGCAGCTTCATTTACGATGTCGCAACAAAACACACGTGTGGGCGCTTGGTTTGTTGAAACATGCTGTTCGACGTCTGGTTCCCAGTGGCTTGTACCGTATAGAGAATGATCCGCTATAATTTCATAATAAAAACTTGTGAAATTAATTCATACTATAACAACAAGTTTTCTTGAAGTTGTAATAATTATTTTACTGGAATTTAACTTTAGAAAGGCATTCGTCATCTGCGCATGCGTAAACTTTGTATCGCACGATATTTCTCCACTTCTGTTTTTGTTTACAGGGGTGGGTGATGAATGCATGCTCCGCACATTGGGCTGTGAGTAGTAATGACTTAGGCCAAGAATTACCACTATATTTAGCTTAATATCGACTGTTATTAGTCCCCATAATAATAGAATGATTGTTTAAAATAGATAAACATACTCAATAAGTATTTTATTTTTATTAAACTAAACTGATGTTGGAAATTAAACGTAGCGCGACCGTCTAGCATGAAATAATGGGGATTTCCCTAGAACAAGGTTGTTTCATTACGGTAGCCAGAAGTTTACACGCATTTCCAGTTGTTTGATGTTTAATAATCAGCTGAAAAAGATTAAATTTTTTTATGTGAACATTTGTAAATAATGTCAATGTTTAAAAATAATTAGAAACTTAACATTATGGGAACAGTTTGGAGCTTAAAAATAGGTGCGGCTTATACACAGGTGACACAAAAATCGTAATATTTCGCGTTCTAAAATCAGTAGACCGTGGAGCGCGAATTAATTTTTCTTATACAGTTCAAAGTGCAACTCTTAAAGCGATTTGGTGTTAATGAAATTGGGGCTTTTTTCGAAATCAGTAGATCATAGATCGCGAATTACTAATGTGTATAGGGCCTACAGTTCAGAGCGCTGTTTTCAGCACGAAATTATCTAAATCAGAGGATTATCATTTTGTATTCCGGAATGCGCGATTTATTTCAGTTGGCCAAAAAACTCTGCACTCCGATTTTCGACCCAAAATCGGAGTGCAGAGTTTTGCTTAAATAAACGGAGTTACTCCGCCGAAATTGGAGTGGTTGGCATGTCTGTATCACCTTCAATGTCGTCACGAACGCCACTCTCATCATTATCAACACCACCATGTTTCATCAGCTTTTATCATTGTTATCATTAGTACTACATTTAAGGGAGTTATCTTAGAAATGATGCAAGAGTTTACATACCTCACCATTGGGACCCCACAAAGTAATCTGGTTTCTGGCATTGAATTCATACAGTTTCTGATCCTATAAAAATATACATTACAGAACAAAGAAAAATGCGATCAAATAGATATTAAGATTCATATAATTTTTCTGAAACATTACTTATTGGAATATTATAAAAATACTTTAAAAGTAAAATATTAATTAAATTAATCACTTTAGTAAGTTGGATTATTCAGTAATTTTGTAGCTTTTTGATCAAGGTGCTAGCTTTCTAAACCCTGGATTCTTAGTTCAGATCTTGTCACCACTTAAAACAGCTTCACTCCTCAAGTCTCATTATAACACAGGGGCTAGATCTGAACACCTAGGCAGTGCCATGCTCTTCTCTTGTAGGATGTCCAGGGTTCTTTTAACCTCTGTACACTGGCCACAAGATGTACAGTCTATCGGAGAAGACTTAGTTATACAACCTGAACCATGAATGATGAGGGTCTCAAAAGCAGCACTGATCTAATAATGCTCTGGGTCATGGAGCCCCCTGCATTAACCTCAAAGCCACTCGATTCGCTCAAGTTTTTTTCAAAATGTCATGAGAGATATCACGCGCCTAGCTTGTCGTATATACATAACCTCAATATTCTGAGTGTGGCAGATGATGTGTGTGTGAATTTGTTATTGAATAAGTAGCCAGAGGAATTTTGAACTTATCTAATAAGTCAGTATTTCTTCATCATTATCATTATTTTTTTTTTGTTGGTATGTTGGCCAATAGCGAACACATAACTGTTTTATAGTAAAGAGGTATTCACATAAAAGTCTTGTTATTCTAATTAGGAAGTGAATTTGTTTTTAGTTGTCGCATAAGATTTAAACCCAGGAACCTAGGATTGGGAAGCAACTTTCTTAACCAGAAAGTTACAGCTATACTCCAATATTGAGAATTTAAGACACAATTCAACTTTTCATATATTTTCTGTACCTTTGCATTAGAAGCAAGAAGTTTGGCTGCAAGAAGCCATCTCCCTAGCAACCAGTCCTCATGTGATAATAGAATTGCATCCATGTCCAATAACAAGTCAAGTAATTTATCTCCATATGTTCTAAATTCAATAAGAATAGAAAGACAATTAATTTAAATTTATTCATCATTTATAGATATAAAAATTAGTCAATTATACAGCACAGAAACTTAAAGACATTAATATTATATGCAAACTCTCTTACAGTGTCTTGGGATTACTTCCATTCATAAATTTATAAAATACATAGGCTGTAAAAAAAAATCTAAAAATATACCAACAAAATTTAATAAATTGTCCTAGAAAAGTGTATATAACTGCCACACATCACATATCCCTTTTAATATATATTTCACTTTTGAACATGAAGAAATCAAGCGTATGCTTCCTTAGGTCTTGCCACTCCATGTTAGTAAAATAAAGACTGAGATTGATTTTAGATTAAGCATTCTATTATGCATATACACAGTACACTGCACTACAGGATGGACTATGACATTGATTTTTATAGGCAAGTTTAGCTAAAGGAAACTTTGCACCACAGCAGTCAGTATATCAAGGATAATTCAATTTTTTTCACTTTTTCCAAAAAACAGGCATGAGTTCTACTAAACACAAGAAGACAAAATTTGTAGAATTTTTAGGATTACATTACCAATTATTCGTAGTTAATTTTGAATTTACATATGCCTTATATTTTTATGGTTTTAAGATTCTTCTTAATCATATTCTGCATTATAACACTGTTTATTGCCATATAAATTGTTGTTATAGTGTTGTGGTAACCTTAAATCTGTTTGACTTACTTTACTGCTGTAGAATTATTGGCCTGATATCCATCAATGAGTTCATTGTAAAAAGAATATGCAACATCCTGGAGAACTTGACGTGTCACATCAACAATATCATACCTAAACAAAAGTGCAGTTGAATATTACAGCCTTATAATCATACAGTGTTTATTGTTGAATAAAAATGTGGAGTCTCTCCATAACATTAGACGCATCTTTCATTGTGTGTTTGCATCAGGAAAACATCATAAGAGTGATGCTTTGCCCTATCTGACTTGCTATACTTTTTCCAAGTACAGTATTAGAAAATTTACTGCGTATTTAGTACAATAACATGTCAGCAGGGCAAAACCTATGAGATGAGTCATTGGTGAGATAAATGATTGAGACAATCACCAAAATCGATCAAAATGAATATATTCATGAAATTTCCAACATTTTTAAATACAGCTAATACTTTGATCTATTGCTATATTTTTTCTAGTATTTTTTTTCATGTTGTTTGTTCGATTTTTGCACTTTCAGTTTCATTATTAATTTATTGTTAGTTTCACACATATAACTTGAAATGCTCACTACTCTGGGCAACTTATCCTAGGAAGGAAAGTGATACAACAGAATCAAAGCTTACAATATGTGGCAAAGACAAGCCAAACCAGTCACTCATCGCAAATCCTGTTTCAGAGATAATGACCAAAACATCCTGGGATGTCAAAATGTTTGAAATCTATTTTAATTCACTAAACTAACCTTTATATACGGTATATATCATGCTTTGTTGTTATTTTCCCCATTTTCAATGTTAAAACAACAATTTTTAACGATTTGGTGATGGTTTCTGCATAAGAAAAGCCTGAAATCCAAAATTTTAAAGGCTGATTTCTCAAACAGCTGTATGTTTAAACTCCTGCAACTTCATAACGAAATGTCGGATTTAAATGATTCTTTTACAATTTTATAGCTCTCATTTTACTGTTTACCTTTGTATTAATAACTAAAAATTGATTTTTGCGACGAGTGACTGGTTTGGTTTGGTTTGTCTTTGCCACATATGTTCTATTTCAATTGTAATTTCAACCTTTTATTTCCCAACCATGTGATACATTTCATAGTGTGACTTTGCAAAATATTTTCTTATAATTAGTAAATAATGAAACATTTCCGCACAGCTTTGGCATTGCAGTTGGTGCTACAATCAATTAAAAAAAAATATTGTCTGAATAGGATAATCAACACCTCGGGAACAGTGGCTTGCCTAGGGGAGGGCGCACACCCCCAAAATTACTCACGCCCCCAGTCGCCCCGCCCCAAAAATCAGTCAAGTAGTTAAAAATCAATTTACGCCGCTGCTCGGGAAGTGGAATTCACTGCCTTATTGAAATAATACTATAATTCATAAATATTTTACAGCAAAACAAAAACTACATTAGTCATTTCAAGGTGTGAGGGCAAAATTACACAGTTTGTATAAGGTTGACATAGCCAGGCATGGAATATTTGATTTAGGGTACAGTGGTACTCTTTTACCCATGTCTGCGTAAATATATGCCAACTTAGGGAAGCAATCAAATATATGGTACCACTTACTGAGTGGAATTGTGACCAATAAAATGTTATTACCCTCTTAATATTTATGAGGTATAGTAAGAGTTTACTTTACCTGAATAGACTTGAAGCCTGGATGTCCTCTACAGCTTGAAGCATCAACTGCCAACTTTCTGTCACATCACTTACACTATACCATATCTAAGAAACAAACATAAATTGTTAAATTTACAGGAGGAAAACATGATCAAATTGTTAAAAAAAAATACACCAAAAAAAAAAATAAAAACCCCTGATTATTCATACACAATGCATTTAGATATTATATCTCCATACAAAATTGAATATTATCTTAAATATATTTACAGTATATCGATGGATGACACTACAGTGGAATATTTCCATAATTTAAGAGGATCTATTTATAAGAAATATTGTATTATGACAGAGGTCCCATGTTGGAAGTAAATTCCAGGATATCTGCAGCGGTGGATCTAAGAATTTGAAATAATGGGGCCCAGGGAGGGACCTTTACAGGCCCAGGGAGGGACCTTTACAGGTGGAGGGTATAGGTCTAGACCACCTCAGCCCCATGGTAAGATTATTATGATATAGCAATTATAAATGCCTGGAAATGGCATGTTCAGACTTAAATTGAATGTAATTTTCATATTTGTATAATTTTCAAAAATTTAGGGTGTCCCAGGACAGTTGCTTCTCCCCTGAATCTGCCACTGATCTGGTTAATGAGATTTCTTAATACTGTACAATAATATTACTTTGCTGCACATTGTGATACCCAACAGCAGTAGTAGTAGCCTAGTACACTTTTAGCCGCAGTAGTTGTGTTTGTGGGAGTGGTTGGTGTATTTTGAGATTTGGACCCTCAATCTTGGGGGCAGAGGTTCGAACCTATGCTGTAATTTTGCCTGTGTCCTTGGGAATGGCACTGCACCTATGGATATCTTCCTTCTCAGTTATATAAATGGGTACATGGTAGGTTCAAGCACCAATACGCTGATTATTGCTGCAATATTATGTTTCACAGGCATTTGCTCCAATGACTGGAGTGATAATAATGTGGTAGTGTGCATAGATCATGACATTGACATGCCTTTATTTATAGCCTACTACTATTATTGGCAGTAAGAGCAGCACCAGCAGCCACAGCAGTAGCAGTAGTAGTAGTAAAATTCATAATATATAAACAAAACTAACATTTTGAGACATTTGTTCCTGAGGGCGCTGGACAACTACAGCCTTGCAGTGGTTTTCGTGAGCATCTGTACAGTTGTAAACAGACTTAGCAAGTAGCAACAGTGCTTGGGCTGCTGGAGCCGAGTGAGATCCATAGCGTCGTAAAGCATAATTTGTTATCCTGAAATATAGAAAAGCACAAAGAAAACCTTTTTATTAAGGTATATCAGTAATATAACAATGAATTAACATCCTCAAAGGCAGGGGTGGGCCAAATGTAAATGTAAATGTAAATGGGTCGGAGAGCCAAAGTGAATTTTCTTATTTTTAGCACGTGGGCTTCGATATTCCAGTGTTACAAAAAAAAAAAAAACTTTCATAAACTGCTTTTATACCACTTTATACTCAAATATTCTAATATTACTTTTTACAGATGATCGTTTTCAGGCTGTAAAAAACAAGGAGTTTTCAGTTAAAGATGGTTGGCAGGCTGCACACATAGGGTTTTTAATATATTTTTGCAGGCCACAACGAACTCACTGTCGAGCCACATTGGGCTTGCGGATCACACCTTGCCCATCTATGCTCAAAGGCTTATGCATTTCACATTATATCCCGGGTCGTTAGATTATTCTTTCTTTTTAAACTGTTCTTTAAGCTGAAAATGTATTCAGTATGAAGTATTGTTCCTCCAAAGGGCAAAAAATATAATAAAAATACAACATAGACATTTACAACAAGTGCAGTTAAATTTTTTAAAAACATTATAAAAAGTCTATATTTTTTAATATTAATTCGGTAAACTATTTTGCAGTGAATCAACATAATTTTATATAATGTCAATTAATTTTCAATAATATCATCCATTAGATTCAAAATCAAGGATCCATCACATTGAAACGTTTGGATTTTACCATTTTTGTATATCAACAGATTCCGTCCTCCACATGAGATCAGTCATAAAATCGTACATGATGTAGTTCTGATTAATTCCTTCTGGTGTTAAACCGGTGCCAATCATACTACTACCACTGTATTCCATTGCATCAAAGGGACCCTGCATACAAAACAATATTCCAAATGTTGTAAATAACTTGTATATTGTTGGTATATTAGTGTTTTTGTTTTTCTTATTACTAAAATCAACTCCACTCTCCAAGTCTACTAAAGAGATGTTTATAAAGCATTATTCCATCCTGTAACTGGGGAGTTACTTGTTGTTGGATGTGGAAGAAATAATTAAAAAGATGTTCTTACATTAGCAAATGCTAACATGTTTTAAATAAAGTTTCTGAGGATGCCTTAAACAAAATTGACACTAATCCAGCAAATCTTGCTGTGTAAAGGTGAAACTTGTATAATGGTATGATTTTTTTAATGTGAAATTTTACAAATGCTTTTTTGTGACTGACATTCATAACAATCTTTCAATGAAGGTTACATGTCTTCAGAAGAGGATAGCTAATTGAACAGCAGCAGTACATACAATCTAGTTGATCTATGTTTATATTATTGGATCAAGAGAATGTAAAGATCATGTTTGACTGAGCAGAAGCCAATGGTGTCAACTGATTTCGGCACATGATTTGTGATTGTGTATGGTTCATTCCATGCCTTGTCCAGAATATCAAATTTCATTTGACAAAAACATGTGACATGCCTAAATATGGTCATGATGACATCACACCATGACCATATATAGGCACATCATGACTATATATGGGCATACAACAGTTTACTTTAATAGTGTAGTTTTATATAGCGCACATATCCATCTAATGTAAGATGCTCAGGGTGCTTCATATGTGGACTAGGAACTCGATCAATGACTTTATTCGCCCCTAAAGGTCCCTTCGTGTCTGTGCTATCCGGTAACCCGGTACCAGCAACTCTCGTCGTCCACCACAGGGGCTGTCTTTTCCAGTACACCGGGGTAACCCCTAGTCATCTCAAAGGATGTACTGGGTTCTTTATAGTGCACACGAGCTGTTGTATACAGTGGGCCTACGGTTTATAGTCCTTATCCGAGAAGACTTGTTCTACCACCAGAACCATAGGCGAGCGTGCCGTTCGAATCAGCGCCGATATTATGGCTATACCTTGCAGCGCCCCTGCTAACCGCTCGGCCATTCGACTCTCTTTGTCAAAGAATACTTTGATAATCTGGACAGAGCTGATGAGATTGGAAAGTTGGAGGTGGTTGCACTTGCCTGATCTCTTAAGGACAAATCGGGAATTCTTCCTGATTGTGCAAGGAACAGCTACAATAATGTAGCAATCGCAATGGAAATGCTATAGCAATTTTATGAAAACTGAATATGACAGATTAACAGATTTCCTAAATAACATATTCCGAAATAAGATTTTATTTCATTTCATTTATTTTATTTAGACACGATAGCATTTCAACACAAAGGTTGTTTTACAAATGGTCGTGTATACCCAAAAGACAAATATAATATAATGCATAATAGAATTATATATAGCATAATAATAATAATAATAATAATAATAATAGAATAATAATTAAATAAATGAATAACTATACAATTTTGATTTAAAAATCGAAAGAGAAGGCGAAGATCTAATCTCAAATGGGAGACAATTCCATTGATGAGAGCCCCTATACACTATGCTACGTTTCTTGAAATTACTAAATATTAGGTTTAGGAATATGGAGTATAAGGCAATCAAAATGTTGCATTTTGATGAAATAATACTTTTCCGATACCTGGTTGACAGCCTCAAGCATACCATACATCCCAGAGTTGCCGCCAAAGTTATGCAGCATACACCAGATGAAAGGCTGGCCAAAGAATGAATGGCTTCTGTTGTATACTGGCTGGCTTTCTGCCTGAAGATCCAACAAGATCAGCTTACCCTGTAGGTTTACAAAAATTCATGAGGAGTATAACACAAGGAACATTTGGCAATAGAAAAATGATGATGATGATGCTTATGATCCTACAAAATGATAATATAATTTATGATAAACAGGATTACTATGAAGATAACAAAGGATGAATGTAGTTAGAATATATGTAGATAGATTTATAGCGCTTTTGACTGAAATGGTCTCAAAGTGTAGCTTTCACAGTAACTTGCTTCTCCCTAAGGGTCTCCTCGTGTGTCTGAGCTACCCAGTAAATCGGTACCAGCTACTCACTGGGGTAACCCTCTACTTATCTCGGAAGATGTACTGGGTTTTTTAAGTGTACACAAACCAAATTCTCTACACTGGGCCTACAGCTTATAGTCCTCATCCAAGAAGACTTGTTCCACCAACACAATTGCAATAATATCGATGATAACAAATACGATATGATAGAAGTGATGTTTTGCCCCACCTGATGTGTGCCAAATACTTAGTATGTCTTCAAATACTTGCGAAAAAAAAAAAAAATTCGCAAGTGACTCAGGTGGGAATCGAACCCACAATCTTCAGAACTAGCCTGGTGCAATAACCACTAGACTACTGAGCTTGCGCTTAGTGACTAGTGTTAAATACAATATGGTGAAATTTATGTGATAATACCAATTATTAAAATATTTTTTATAATTTATTATCTTTTATCAAAATTTTCAAGCACATTAAAAAAATTCCCTACCTCTGGTACACCACCAAGAAAAGCTTTAATAGCCTCCTGAGTCCAGAATGTTCCTTTAGTGAATAACCAAGCCTGCATCAGCCAGACTCCTTTGGGATCAGCGGATACTATGGCATCATATACACCACGGCTAGCCGCGGAAAGGTAGTTCGGGTCACTGAAAATATAAATATAAATTTTAAAAACAAATTCTCATAATCTCAAAAGCTCCAATGAGGGCAGTATAATAGAGGAATAGTCTGTTGGCCCTAACAGCCGCCTATACAAAAAAGATCTATCAAATCAAATAATCAATCAATCAACCGAGTATTCCTATAGCGCCTTCAAAATTACGTAATAACTATGGCTCGTAGGTCTAGAGGCATGAATGTAGCTTAGGATGTGAGAGGTACCAGGTTCAATTTCTGAAAGATCCCATTACTTTTTTTTTCTCTAAAAATGAAAAAATTTCTAATAATCAATAAGCAAAAAAAGATCTATCAGTCAAGTATTCCTTGAGCTCCTTCAAAATTACATAGGAACTAGGGCTCTTGTTCTGAATGTAGCTTAGGGTGTGAGACACACTAACTATGGCTTGTTGGTCTAGAGACATGAATGTAGGTTAGAATGCGAGATGTCCTTGGTTCAATTCCCATTTTTTTTTTTTTCTTTAAAAATTAAAAAAGCACACAATAAGCAGGGTATTCCTAGAACTCCTCACTGGAAGCCAAACAAGAGAGAAGAAAGAAACACATTGTTCATGTTTTTTAAGCACACTATATAGTTCAAATATAAAAAAAAACCAGAGCCTTGCAGGCGTCAACGTTCCTATGCATGATACACGACTTTTAGAAGTACATATATATATTTATATATATATATACATACATATATATTGATATATATATACATATACGTATATATATATATATACATATGTATGTATATATATGTTTATGTGTGTATATATACTTATATATAAGTGTACATTATATATAAGTATATAAGAATATAAGTGTATATATAAGTATATATAGGTGTATATATGTAAGTATGTGTATGTATATATATAAGTGTGTATATATAAATATATATACGTATATATAAGTATGTATATGTATATATATAAGTATGTATATATATAATATATAAGTATGTATATATTATAATGCATATATGTATGTATACATATATATAGGCCTATATAAGTATATATGTAAGTATGTGTATATATGTATATATATA